CCCCCCCCAGAGATGGATGAAGATAGGATATAGTGGTCATTACACGCACATTCATGCAAAGAAATTGTGTTTTCTTTTTTTTCAATTGAATCAAAGTCGTATTGCTTACAGCAGTCGAAAATTCATCTCTGACAAGAGAGGATGAAACCCAATCAGCTAATCGGATGGCTGGAAGCCGGGGGACGCAAATCTGGTCGTACCCCATACGATGACAAATATTCACTGCTTGGGCGAGATTGCTTTCATTCCAACTCAATAATTGTTCACGACTTTGCTAGTTTATAGCTGCTGTCAAGTCGAGCTAGGACACAACAGCATTTGTTACTTTGAAAATGACCTCTTGAGTAGTTTGATTACGAAAAAAAAAAAAAACAGCTATTGCGACCATCTCCCATAATACGAGCTAATCTCCTTTGGGTGATAAAAGAGGGACAAGGTAGGATTTTCGAGAATATAAATTATTAAATAAACCACAATTCCCAGCAAGATATGACTGCATTTTAATCACTTTGTTTTGCCATCCTATCAAGCAAGGTCTGTAGCCGTCACTTCAACAAATTGTACACAATCCACCCTTTATGTTTTACAATCACCGTCACGCCATCTCGTTCAGTTTGTTGAATAAAAACCTGAGGATGGCAAAACTATTCTGCGTGCAAATGGTCCAACGTGACGGGACGACAAGATAATTACATAAACTAACATGTACAGGGCCCGCCTACTGACTCGGATTCATGAAAAAAAAAAAAAATCGTTCCGGTTAGTATGAAACATGAAGAACTTGGAGATGATGATTCGGGTTTAACATCACTACTGATCAGCTAGAGTCTATACTGACTATTAGCAGTCTTTTTTCTACAAAATGTTAGCCGAAAACCTCATTTAAAAAAAGGAATGACGATGGCACGTGATGAGCTCCTGTCTTATCAGTAGTCGATCAGTTACAAAGATATCTGGCAACTTTTTGTCAGATCACTGAATATAAAAATGACAGTAGTAAAATAACCTAGACCTCAGTAAAAAAAAAAAGTATTTGTTGCTATTAAACGGCGTATAAAGAAGAGTTTTTTTTTTTTCATTGGTAGATCTTTCCGTATTGGTCTAATGTAATTGCCAGGACTATTTAGGCATTTTGTAGTGCCCAAACACTTATGTCACTGATGCTCCTGTTGGTCAATGGGCCATGCGGATAAATTCAATTTTGTCAGTACTTCCTTGATGTATTTTCACTACATTAAATCGCAACACCATGTTAAAGGACGATGAAGAAATGTTTTGTTCAGTCGGATTCTTTAACGAGTTGGCTTAATGTTTCTTCCACAAAGAAAGCAATTAAGAACCGGATCAAGGCTGAAAGTTATTACCACTAAATGGATGGCCAGTTGTACTTAAGCCTGTCATACTTTTTGAAGGCTATTGTTCCTTAAAAGTCACTGTTTTAATGTCGGCATCAATCATTTTAGCTATCACGGATTTAGACCCGGCAAAAACACCGGCGGATTTCCCAAGCTATTGCGTGCGGGAGAAAACAACAGTGTTATCTACCGCAGTGCTTATCTAGACCAGTAAATCGCAATATTTTTTTATTTGCCTCCTAAACTTATATAAGTTTATATTCAGTCTGTTTTTTCTTAGCCTGAGCGAAAAAAATAATAATGAAAAAGATAAGACATGAAAACTTAATCAAGCTTTTAGCCATGCAGGGGTGCAAATACGGACAAACCTTTTTTGACATCGGTTCTTGACGCAATGTTTCTAATCAATAATGTACGTATTCAAAGATAATATTTGTATTTCAAAAAAAGTAAACAAGGAATTTCCTTCATTGTTTAATTTTCATACTGCGAGGCTGGAGAATGGCAGCCTGGTTGAACCACGCAATAGTTAAGTGTTAAAGTAACTGAACTGATGTACTTTGCGTAAAAAGAATTAGGAAAAGAAAAAAAAATGAAAAGCAATTCAGTCAAAAATAGCAAGCTGCGTGTGAACCTGTTCAATTATTATGCTAAGTGTTACAAATGCTCCTATCTTAATTTTAAATTTTGAAAGGGAGAACAGAAACTTTCACGCACTGACACTGGAAAACGTTTTGCATTTGGTTTTCATCTAGTATAACATATATATTTTGTTTTTCGATTTCACTCACTTCACAGAATTACCGGTCTTCCTTCGGCCGGGCCTGGAGCAGTCGTGAGTTCTTTTCAATCCGTCTATTTTCAGATTTTTAATATGTATGAATAATCGTTTTCGCGGAAAAAAACAACCATTAGGCAGGTGTAAAGCAATAAAAAGCAAGCATTGTTAAAAATTTGGGACACCTAATGTCACATCAACTTGACACGTTCTACACTGAATAAATTTAGAATATTCTGATCCGATGATGTCAATGTTGTTTCACTAGCCGACGTCAAATTATTTTCGCGCCGGCTGTTTGATAAATAGTACAAGCCAATGAAAATCCACGTAATAGTTTCTTAACCAATCACAAATGTCGTTGTAAGTGGTCTGAAGGTAAACAAACATGGCGTCGTTTCCCGAGAAACGGAACGTAATATAAATCGAGAATATGAGCGTTTGAATCGACGATTCGACAAAGGAACAACGGCCTCGAGTAAGAAATGACAATGTGACCTTTACCCAAAATGACCATGGCTTGGAACGGAAGAATTACGCTTATGGCAATTTACGAACACGAGACAACGGGAGATGAGCGGTTTACTCGCGTGAAAAATTGGCCTGGTCAACTACAGGTTCACGTGTTTATGGCATAGAGACTATGTGTTCTACAACCGACAAATGCTGGGCATCTCCAAGAAGCATCCATCGTTTGAACCAGACATCCCCACAGGAAACACTGGCTCAAAACAAATCTCACGGGAAGAGCAAACGGCTCACGCACCCCACCGAAACTGTTTTCTTGGCAAGATTCTTCATATCTTTAACTGTCTTCATTATTAACGTTACTCTTTTCGCGTTGTTTCTCTGTGCCGTGATTCTCGTTGTTCCTGTGTGTTTTTTCGTCAGGAAACTTATTCTTTATTGCAGTATTCGGCGTCATCGAGATGGCAAGCTGAGCAAAATGTCCACATCAGAGGCAGTGTGGCTACAGACGAGTTGTGTAAATACAGCGCCAGTGAACAATTTATTCTTTCTTTTTGAGGGAATGGTCACCATCGACGAAGTTCAAAATTTTGTCAGAGACAAATTACTACAGCAAGGAATCTTGCATGGAAATTTGCGATTGCTAAAATTTAGACAGTCTCCCGTGAGGGTACTAAGCGGGTATGGATGGAAGGAATTTGACAATCTAAACATAGGTAATTATGTTCTTGAAAGTAAAGAGAATTCGTCTGCGAACCTTGAGAATTGGAGAGAAATCACTGAACTATCGAACTTCAAGGATCTTGAGAAAATGTGGAGAGTGACTCTGTTTCCGAAATTCAATGACAGCAATGATACTGGAGTATTGTTTCAAATACATGAGAGCATTGCGGATATATTTCCTTTAATGAGAATTGTGTTAGACTCTCTTGATTATAAGACCGTGTATCTCAAGAGGCATTGTTTTCTCTTGGGACGATTAGCGACATATTTCTGTGCTTGCTTCACTGGACCACTTGTCATTCTCAAAAGACTCCTCATGAAAAGTCAAGATGATTTCTTTGTGGTCAATCAAAGCGAGGGAAGTACATCTATAAACGATTCTTTTCATGTCTCGTGGTCTGGTCCCATAGATTTTAAGTCTGTCAAGAGGATCAAGGATATTACTCGCACTAAAGGTAATTTACATCTGTGAAATATTTGTTTCTATACTTTTAATCTCACGAATTAATCAACATCTACTTTCTCAGTTTACTGTGAAGCAGACAGGTAATGAGAATAAACAAATTCATCAGCTACATTGCCACTGGTACAATGATAAGCAACTTATGGTAGAGAAACTACTATTTTAAACAAGTTCTACATAATATTAAAGGCAATTTTGTGTTGTGTAAAGTGTAAGGGTAAGCTAACAGCCATAGAATGGGCACAAAGGTGCCANTTTCGACGGCTCCATGCCATCATTCTCAAATTCAAATAAGATATCTTATTTGAATTTGAGAATGATGGCATGGAGCCGTCGAAACGTCATTCTTTAATATCGCTGCTTTTTATTCTTAATAATTTGTGAGCCTACAGAACAATTGCAGTCATGGACAGCTGTTTGAAAATAGCCATTTTCAGCCACATTGTTCAAGCTAACTATATGCAGATCAGATTTCAGATTTTAATCATAATTATGTAACATTAACATCAACTAGCTCTCTAATAATATTGTATGAACAAAGAAAAAAACAAGACGAATCTGGCAGTAAATGGGACCATGGACACTGGGTGCTCCCTGGGATAGCAACGAGAGTGGGTGGTAGCGACACACCCTGGACAGGTAATTGGTTGGTTAGCGGACACACCCTGCAAACAAAGTGGGGCGGTTAGCGGACTCAAACCCCAAAGCATAAACACAATGTGGGGTGGTTAGCAGACACAAACCCCAAAGCAGAAACTTGGGCGGTTGGCGGACACACCCACTGAATGAATTGGGGTGATAGCGCACTCANACCGAGACAACATAGCTAGTAGTGTCCATTGTTTATGGTATCAAGTTCCTTGGCATGTTCGTAATGCACTTACACAGTAACAGAATAGCATCTCTGTACCTGAGACATATCGATGGACAGTAATAATAAGCTCTTGTGGTTAACTATACTTTACAAGTAAAGTTTACATTTACATGTGCATTGATGTTGTCAACCAGAGTAAATTCAAATTATTACTTTTGCATCTAAGCAACTTACACAAGGATAACATACTGACTGAATTCATGTACAGCTGTTTATTTTATGGGACTGAAACAGGATACTGTATTATGCAAGATTGTGGTTAAGATTCTTGCTTGTATAGAGCCTTTTCACTACAACTTAAAGATTTCATCATGACTTCTTGTGAACATGTTGTATGATTAGGTGATTTGCTTGATATAGGAACAAATTCAGAATGAACTAACAACAATTACTCAGTAGACCTTATATTTTGACTAGGAGACTGAACAGTTTTGGAAATTTATTTAAATGTGTTTTCAAGTTTTTGATAATAATAATAATAATAATAATAACAACAACAACAACAATAATAATAATAATAATAATAATAATAACATAATCGACTTTATTTAACGAGGGTAACACAGAATAGTAAATTACTGAAAAACCAGTGGCCCTCATATAAATATTACAGAGTAAAAAGATAACGTATTAAAAATTAATAATGTAGAAAGATTCTCAAATATGCAACAATAATATTAAAAACTAAGATATGAGACACATTAAAATATTAGAAAGCAAAGCCATTACCATTAACACAAGACAATACCATTGTTTTTACCACAGCAACCAAACACTATATATCTAGATGACACTATACCATAGCCTTAATCTGATATATTTGTTATGCAAATGTTAATGTACTTTATGCATCATCTTTTCTAGGTTTTAAACACATTTTACTTTAAATTTATTTAATGTACATAAATATTAATTGAAAGAATTGTGTCCAAGAGATATAATTTGCTGAAAACTGTTATTTAAGTAAAAAATTCAAATATGAAACTTAAATTAAGATTAAAAAATTTCTTTTTCTGGTTTCAGTGGACATCATTCTCCTTTCCTGTGTGGCTGGTGCAATCCGTTCATTTCTTCAGAGATGTAGAGTGCAATACCCTGATGACATTCTGGTCTGCATTAGGACGGATGTCAGACCTCAACACACCAAACTCCAGCTGGACAACAAATTTTCTCTTGCATTTATCAAACTTCCAGTAGGAACAGAAGGTACAGTGGTTATGTCAAACCTCTTTCCTATGTTGATCATTGTACTGGGTTAAAACAAGTTTTAGTTGAAGCCAGGTAAATTGATCCCCTAACTGATATTTTAAACCCAGTGCCATGAAGGAGTGTGTTCAGATATCAGGGGTAGATCTGGGGGGAGGGTGCAGGGGGTGCACCTCCGCCCCCTCTGAGATGAAGCCTTCTTCATATTTGCTTTTAATATTTGTTTACCTCTCCAGTCAGTTATGCCACCCCCTCCTAAGGAAAATCCTGGATCAGCCCCTGGATTGGTTGTCCATTAAATTAAGCTGCTAGACTGATCACCAATGTGCTGGTAATATGGTTGGCAATGGAAATTTTTTCACATTCTTAATATACCATGCTTTAGGCCCGCAATGCGTACAAATGGTAAACCTCCATAGCTTTTTGCATGCACCTCAACCTTTGGCAGCATTTTCTGCTTATAATATGATACCGCAGGGAATATTCTATAACTCGTCTGAGTAACCTCTCACTAATTAATAGGAATAAACTACTCAAACTAATAATGCAAAAATAATTTTTTTATCAAGAATTTCTTGTTTTTCTTTCATAAATGAAATTTTATGGACATTTCCAGCTGCTGAGAACTTCAGCAGATAAGTTAGATTGTTTGAACAATTGATTCATACTGTTCATGAAACACCTAAGGAAGTGATTAAAGAGAAGTGAATCGGTTGCAATTGAGTGGCTTTCAATGACTGTCTGAAAACCAAAATCAAAGTGATTCACAACAAATGTCAATAATACACTGAAGTAATCATGATTTTCTAAAACATGTAAGCTGGTGTTTAGTCATCCTGGGTATCAATGTTACTCCTCTCTGGGCAAGAAAAAAGCCAACGTGTTCTCAGTCATTGGATACAGCAAAAAATCACATACATTTACTTTGAAAGATCAACAACAAAAGCAGCAATCTGATTAAGTATCCAACCCACATGACCTACATGTACCGTGTTGGGCACCCCTTGTTTTGGTGAAGTCTCCTTTTAGATAAGTTAAGGTGGCACTAATCCCCATTGTTATTAATTTCTCTAAGGTTTTAGGCTAACAGACTCCAGATCTATGAGTTATAGGTTGAACTTTAGCGCCAAATATTTTATAGTCTTCTCTTATTGTCCGTTTTGTACTTTGCGGTCCTTTTCCATCCAGGTAACAGCGATCTGTTAGGGAATCGCGGCAATTACACTGTGGGCCTGCGATGTGCTAGGGATGAAGTAGCATTGCATCCATGCGGAGGTAGTACTAGTGTCGACAGCAGGGCCACTTTTGTGTCTAACGTATGAATAAGTCGCGTTACTTACGAACTATGAGTAGTGCAATCGGGCCGACTGCTGTAGATTTACTTAGCTTACGAGACATTTTAACGTTTATATCTCTCAAGGTGCTGTGCCTCGACTGTGGGAAACGAGGCGTAGAATAGACAAGTTTTCCTTTACCCTGGAAAGTATTATCATCTACGGTTTCATGAAGCTTTGCCTGTTGCTATTCCCTTTGCCTATGGTGAGACGATTGATCAACTATCTGATAAACAAGGTGTCATGTACAGTGACCCAAATACCAGGACCAAACATGCCAGTGTTTCTTAATGGAAAAATGGCGAAAATGATGACCTGCTGGACGCCTAGAAAAACAGAAAGTGGTTTGTCAATCTCGATCACAAATCATGGCGGGCAGATTCACGTTGGCCTAGTCACTCACCATTCACAAATTAACGACCCTGTTCTGTTACTGGCAGAGTTTGAAAGAGAGGTGGCAAATTTAGGCAACCATCTGGGCAAACGAGCGTTACCCTCTCATCTGCGATGGCGCCTAAAGATGGATCAACGCGTCAATGAAGTTGCGGAAGAGAGGGAGGAGGAAGAAACCGTTTGAAAATGGTCACACATAGTATACATACATGTATTCGGCACAGACAGCACTGTAGCTAATTTATCTTTATAAAATAACGTAAGCATTAAACACTAGCGTAGTCATCACGCGAGTTCTTTGGCAAATTGCAGATCCTAATGCAAATGCTGAAAAGGACCTTAGATGAAACGTTTCTCCCCTTCCCCGCCCCCCTCTTTTTATTTAATTTTATCTTCCTCCAGCCGTTGAAATCGATAGTGATATGTGATCCGGATTTTTAGTATTTTTATGATCCACAATAGTTTGACGATACTAAAAGAACTAGTTACGTACAACATTCGTTAGCCTAAAATTGTCTTTTTTTTAGTTGATAAATTTATTTGAGAGTTTTTACAGAGAAAGAATACACGTATATTTAATAACTTAGTATAATGATATTTGTGGGAACCTTTTAGATATATCTATATAATTTATTTGTACAGTATATATATAAGTATCCAGAAAAGGTGGCATGGTTAATTAATATGTATGGATATCCAGCAGAACACATGTACAGTACTACTTCACGACGTGAAAAAAATATTTATGATATAGCAGAGGTTCTCGCATAGTACGAGACAGGTGTGGCCGGCCACGCGTGTCTCGCTTTCCTTCTGAGGAATTTGATAATTTATGCTCTGTACCATTTTAATGTTTATAACTATTTAGTGCTGACCTGCGTCCCGGGGACCTGCGTGCGTGTGTAGACTATGTCATAAGTTACAAACAAGCACTTTGTAATTGGTAAGGTAAAGGTAAAGTCTGCTTACGAGCCAAGTGGTCCATCAGGCCGGAGCTTATCCCGGTTTCTGTAGCATGAAGCGACTAGGANCGGACCGCTCGATCCGGAGACGAGCGCACTAACCATGAGGCCACCGCGCCTCTCTTGTAATTGGTAAACTGGGTCGTTAAATGTTATTTTAGACGCTACCTTCCCAGCGAGAAGTCTGGCTGTTTCTACTGGGAAGTTGTGTATTAACGACTAGATCTATAAGCTAGGGCTGTTGTTATCAAATCCTTTATTAAAGGGAACTTTTAGTGATAGTTTTCTTTGCTCTGCCTCTTGTAAGCTGTTTGATACCTTCTTTTAAATCATCTACCTTTTTCGCTCTTAATTAGCAATGACGGCAAATTGGTTTACGTACAGATAGTTTCCTCAAACTGGAACGTTCTTGTTTTCCCCTTTTGTGTTAATTTTCAAAGCTACTTTATACGGCGGAGTTTGAAAGATTAGGGTCTGATTGTTTTAGATTATTTTTTTCTTGGTAATTATGTAACGGAAATTTGCTCAGTCGGTTACGCAATGACTCATTAGTTGATTACCAATTGCAATTAGTACTTGTAGTTTCTTACTACAATATGTCAACCAATTAGCCTGTGATGGTAACCGCCTTATTCACCCAAAGCAGTACGTCGGAAGCGATAGAAACGAGCCATGAATCAGTATTTCGAGTTCCTCTCTGTTTAATCTGACCCATAATGCAACCTTTATGGGTATTTTGCCAGTATTACGCTTACAGATGGCTATTATAAATGCAGTAAACTCGTTACCAACGAACTGAAAACAAATATAATGATTCAAGAAACAGACTTGTTTTGACAATAAATCCATGTCAGCTCAGAGTGATGGTTCTCTTTTGCTTCCTTGTGATTTCGCTGGTTTAGAATGAGTTTCACGATATGCATACCTTGCACGTGCTCCTGGTACTTTATTCAACTTCCATCAGTCTACGCCACGAGTCATTGTTTGAAACAAGCTATTCCAGTGGATCATGTCAATTTGGTAAGCTTCATTTTAATACGTGTAGGTTGGCATGCCAGACGTACCACTGAAAACCTTTTGTCAAATTATAAAACTGAACGTTTCCGGGCATCAAAGTGTCTTGATGTCTTTGATGTGCGTCACTCAGAAGAAGTGGTGGTATTAAGTTTCGTAATTACTAATAAATTAATTAGTTTGGATCCTTTCTTTATGATGGTAATGCTGAATCGCTGTCCTTTCTTTTTGAGATTGACAGTGCTACGTGACAATTATTGAATACAGCGTTTTGACTCCAAAAGGGTGGACAATACGGTCTAAGATGGCCGTATGGCTTTATGGGGTCACCGAGATAGGACCTTGCCAAATTGAATTTCATTCATGTTTTCTTTTTCATCTTGACAATCAAATATTCACAATGCTAATCCACATTTGTGAAATTTGGCGCCCCATATGTTCTTTGTTTATCAACAATCCCGACTCAGCTTTTTAAATAGCTATTAAAATGATACGATCTGACATCTCCAAGGGTTTCTTAATACGATCCAACTTGAGATTTCAGCACTAGGTTCTTCAAAGTTGAATCCCTGCTGAAGTTGAAAGGCAAAAATATGCCTCTGACGCCTTGTAATCAGGAAAGAAATCTAACCTGTTTCCTTTAATGGACGTTTATTTGTTATGTAAGTAAACTCAGAGGTCGCATTACAACACACAAAAAGCCATAATTTCTCTAAAAGGTAGAGAGCTAAAAGGGTCCCGTCAAAGCAGATGTCAAAACGGATGAGTCCAAGTTGGTCCAAGGATGAAATATACAAACCTAATAGTAATTCTCTTGAAAACAAGTCATTGGGACATCTGATCAGGCGTGGATCATCATAAGTACTACTCGAGCAAAGCAGACTAATTTTCGTCTGGAAAATGGATAGCTCTCTGGCACCAAACCAGTCCGAGGTTACAGAAGGGCCAACTGAAATGGTCTACATCGTGGAACCACTGGCTCTTCGAATTTTTCGCCTAACGTTGTACGTGATTATATTCCTGCTGGCGACTTTTGGAAACGCTCTCGTTATCTTTGTGGTATACAAAACACGAGAACTGCATACAGGTAAGATCTTTCAATTCTTTGCTTCAACTTACGGTATTTTTAACGAAAGCTGCTAAGAGGATTACAGAAAGGAATGATAAACCAAGTACCCCGCTGATTAAGCCCCTTTGTCATCCCAAAAACATTTCATACAACCTTTCTTATGGTGTCGCTGCCAACAAAACAGTTAAAATTAAATAGGAAATTGTATTTTGAAAGTGGTTCCAACTATAAACAAACGTCCCTTAGAGTATTGTACTTCTTACAATTTAAGGTATGCAGTACTAGTGAGTCCACCCTTTTCAGCCGTCGCGCCTAAATAGTAAACTGGTTAAATGCTGACAGGAATAAACGACAATCACGGCCGAATGATGCATACATAATTCGTATACTTTACTAATATACAGCACGAAAGATTAAGTTGAGAATAATGCAATGTAATCATCGGCTCTCAAATAATCTTCATTACGCAACTTTTCTCAGTCCACGTTCTGCCTCAGTGGTGTTTCCGCCGAGCTTCAAAGCGCGCAGCATCAACACACGCGTTTACGAAAAGGTGTACAAGTTTTTGTTCAAAGGCAAACAAGACAGCCCCATTTCTTGGCTATGTACACATGAATACTTACTTGAACGTTAACTCCATTAACCTTAGTTTTTCCATTTTGATCGGTCTGCAGCCGACACATTCCTGGTATTTCACATTTTCGTCGTGCATCTAATTTGCAGAACTTCCAGGAGATCCTCTATTGAGAATCTCTTTCTCGGCACCTCAATACGTTTCTATTGACTGCTTCCTTCCCGTTTTTTCAGATGCGAGTCGATTATGGTAGAAATTGCCGATCACAAAAGACGAAAAACAAACACTCGTAAAGCAAAGAAGGAAAAGGAACAATGACAACGGAAGAATCTATTGAATCAAAGACGTTTAACAAAATAGTTTTAGTGTTTTCACAACTACAAATTCGTTGAACTTTGGGGCGATTGGCTCTTCGTATCTTTTCTCAAGGCAAAATTTAACCGCCATTAATTAAGGACTAACTAATTATGACCGGATGCTAAAGAACGCTGGTTTTAATCAATTAATGTATTGAATAAAGACATGTCCTGCTGCATAAGCATTAACTTTTCCTTCTGCTACCTCTGATTCGAACAAAGAACTTTGGATTAATGTGTTTATTATACACAATGAGTGTGTTGTACTCCGTCTTTTGTTAAAGACTGTCTTACTGAACAAGAAAAAAGATAGGCCAAAGGCGTCCGCTTCGTTCGTCCGTGGCATTACAATTTGATCAGTCCGCCGTCGCATTTTCCTCAGGAAATTTCATGCTAACTTTTCGTGACCTATGAGTACTAGTGTGACATTTTTCTTCTCACAGTTTGAGGCCCTGGAAAAGCAGATTAAGCTCGAAATACTAACTTTTGATACATGACATAAAGAGTTTTTAAACTGTTAATCTTTGTTCTCATAACTATTTCACATTTCATAGGTAAATTCAGTCTTTCTCGGTCATCTCTAAAAAAGACTTGGCATCTTGTTTTGAAATTCAGCAATCTTCTCGAGAGATCGCTCGGGGTCATGACATGAATCAACCAAATTCTGAACTGTTTCAGTATTTCGCCAATCGTGTTGAACATCACTTATAAAGTTCTTGCCAAAGAAGTGACCACCTATAACGTGGGCAGCAAGGAAACGAATGATATTTTTTTGTGAGGCTACCTCATCATTATGATCGCCAAACCTGAGTTTTTTCCTTTTCTTTGGGAAAATTATGAAAACAGGTGTATTTACTTGACCACCCGCATGTGTCTGTGTTACAAAAAGATTGCTGATACTACCTAGACCACTTCCTTTCAATCTTGAAAACGCTAATGGACGGCTTTTCAACTAAATCCTCTTGATGGTCAACTTGCGGTCCAGGCTACCATTAGTTACTGAAGCGAGTCTGTAGGAATTTGGAACTGCAAACAAAAATGGATTCTGCGTGCCATTTGAGGTAACACATTTTTTCGAATACTCAAAACTCCCACCAAGTAGTGTGAAAAAATAATTATCCTGATTATAAATCATTTGTACCTTTTAACAAGAAGTGAATAGTCAAGTGAATAGCTCATAGTCAGAAACTGACTATGAGCATCTGTTTACATATGTAAAACCATTTACGCGCGAGCTGTAGTGTTATGCAATATCCTTGATTTTTCAGTTTTATCCAATTTAAAAGCCACAGTCTTCGAAAAAAATTAGCTTTCACTTTAAACACTTTTAACCGTATATCGCAAGATAGAATAAGATGAGATAATATCTCAAGATCCCTAAGTCTCTTAGAACGTCCTATGACACCCTTCTCATAAGACATATTTTGCTATTTTGAACCAACGCTTAATTATTTTGGTTTATCAGATTGTATTGCATTTCCTTAGAAGGTCTTGAAATTTTTATACTATCGTGATTCATAAATTTTACAGTTCTTTACAACTTCCTTCAGTTTTTTACAAGTTCACCGGGAAGAACAATTTCAGTAACTTCCCAGTTTGAAAACTAATACAGAAGCTAAGATAAATGTCGTGTTGACCGGTAATTCATATGTAGAAACTGTGTCAACAGTAATACGTGAATACTTTGTCTCTGCAGTAACGGGGTTTCTGATTGCAAATCTGGCCGTTGCCGACCTTGGAGTTGGAATGCTCTGTATTCCGTTTACTGTTGTTTACTTTGAGCTCAACTTCAACTGGCCGTTTGGCGCAGTGATGTGCAAACTCCTTCCCGCACTCATGTCTTGTTTTGTCATGGGATCAGTAGGAACCATGTTGGCCATTTCAATAGGTAAGCCGACTATTCACAACATCCTATATATAACAACAAGAAATGATATTCATGCAGGGTAGTCGCTTAAGATGATATCAGCATGTCTCCTGCTGAATGATAGTTGTAGACAGTACCTAAGGCAAAACATTTCGCAACAAAACTTTACCAATATAATTGGATCGGTCAAATACTAATTAATTGCACTTAATCTTCATAAACATCTTAAATAAGTATCTTAACTGACCACCATCAGGGCCAATGAAAACCAACAATAAAACAAATAATCTAACTAAACATAACATGGTTAAAAATCCCCACTGGCAGGAGGCAGACCAGTTACGTAGTAAGGATCAAACGTACCTGTACACTTACAGCATAATGAATAAAAAAACACTTGTTTGGTAGTCCCTATTACCTTTTTCTCCAAGTCTTCTAAATTCTCACATTGAACCGAGTCAGCAACTTTATCATCCGATGATGTGCCTCTTTATGTGTCTCCATAGATCGTCATCAGTCCATTGTGCATCCATTCGGCATGCGCATTTCAAGGTACCAAGGCAAGCTCATCATGTTGCTGATATGGCTAACTGCTCTTCTGCCAGCATTCCCACTGCTAGGAGTCATGGCAATCATCCCCAAGCCAACGGGTGGTGTGGCATGTTTGGAAGTTTGGCCACAAACTACGGGAATGCCGTACTCAAAAATATACTTGTTGTGCACTTTCGCGTTGACATACACCATCCCTCTTCCAATAATGATATTCATCTACATAAAAATCGGCATAAAACTTCGTCAAGCTATCAAGGAGGCAGCTGATAGGCCGGGCTTTACTCAGGCCCAAGCTACAAAGCGGATTATCAAAATGTTGGCAGCCGTGGTTGTGTGCTATGCGTTGTGTTTCCTTCCATTTCACACTTTGTATTTCATGATGGACTTCGGAGGATATAAATCCACGTAAGTTCAAGTTGTTGTTTTATTTTAGTAAATTATTGGTCACAACCGATTATATTCTTTATGTAGCAGTTGGGTGGGAGGAGCTGGGATATTTACGTGAATAAAAATACGAGTAATATCATTGTACATTAAAAGGATGCTGAAAGCCTACATAGTGTTGTTATGAGCGGGGCCGGATCAAGTGCCTCGTCTAGTCGAATAGATAAAACATGTCGTGTTTCAGTATGTTGGCCAGCTACAATGTGCCAATTCCGCCAGGAATTCCACCTGGTTATAATTACAAAAACTTATACTATCCATATTCACCCAGCCAAATCACTTAATAATACGCTTGCCCAGCTGCTATCATATGGTGGATCTTCTATTTCCTGATCGGACAACATTAAGAACGCTACTGGGCGGTCTTATCACTAAATCCGGGTACTAAAGACCCATCGAGCAGGTAACGTTGTTGTTCCTTAATTACGAAATGTAAGGGTTGCTCGAGTCCCTCGATAGTAAAACATTTATCATTCAAACGTACAACACATTGCCCGGCATCAAAATGCGCCACCTTTTTACAAGCCGCAAACTGACAGCTAATGCTCGCTGCTCTTTTAACTTAGCTTATTCTCTGAATGTAAGCGCAGGCCCACTGCCAGGCTACCATGCCGACCTGTTCCTGCTTGACTTACTTGAAGCTTTTTGCCTCTCTCCCTCTCTGCAGGTTCTATCCAATTCTTCAAAGCTTCTCGAGCGTCTTAATGTTCTCAAACAGTGCTTCCAATCCTGTGCTCTATGCATTCATGGGCGATCAGTTCAAACTGGGATTCAAACAAGCAATTGCTTCTACTAGGAGGAGTTTTAGCTCAAGGATGTCAACCATTAATGGTTGGTCATCACCCTCCGCAACTAACACTTAAAGCGGTCAGGTATAGCTATAAATGTAATTAAAGCAAAACACCTAAAGCTTTCAATTACGTAAGTGCTGTTTAAAATAATAAACTGCATTGGGTACTTCACATGCTTACTTTTATAACTCTGTATTTCACGTACTCTCAGGTGTCCGCCAATTTCACTCAACTTCTCCTTAAAGTGCCTATGAAGTAAAAAATAATTGCTGCTGATTTCAAAGGCTTTTCAAAGTAAAGAAGAATGGCATTTTCCTTTTTGGAATACCTTTTTTCGTTTTAGAGATATTCACGTTTTTGTATCATAAGTGATGACGTCATAGGTGGTTCCACT